CAGAGTGCAGAGGAGAATAATATTCAACAGAGCTTGAGAATAATGAACTAAAAATGGAAGAAAAATTGAAACACCAAGTTCTCTTTAATGTAGCTTGGTTTAGGTTGGAAAAGAGCCTCTCGAACTTGTATTCTTGCTGTTGAGTCGACTGCCTTTGAGAGAAACATTTTAAATTGTGCAAAGGCGGACGAGGATGCAGCAACTGGAGTTGCTTTTCTTAGTGATTCTGGTTGCCACTGGTGGTGGTGGTGGTGATGATAGGTTGGAAGATTATAAAGGAAGAGCTGCTACTTTAGTGGCGTCAAGGATGCCAGTATTTGCAATGGAGAAAACACAAATTTTTTAGAAGAACCCAGATCTGGGTTTGATTTGGAGAGGATGAAGAAGGGAGAAGAGGGAGAAAAAGAATAAGAAGAAGAAAGAAGAAGGACAAGCAGGGAAAGGAAGGAGGAAGGTTGATAGAGAATGAAAAGGCAAAACTGTTGACGGAGGAAAGGAAGCAGAAGATCAAGTTTTTTTTTTTTTTTTTTTGGTTGAATAATTGTGAAATAATAATAAAAAAAATCAAATTTGCCTTGTTGGAATTACAAGTCATTAAAATTAAAAAATCCAGTGATTTTGTGGCATTTTAATGTGCCACCTGTCGTTTAACTGATGAAAGGATCATTTTGGCATTGAAAATAAAAGTTTAAGAATAATTTTAATACTTTTTCAAGTTAAGGGGACCATTTTGGTGCCAAAGTGAAAAATTGAAGGATCGAAAATGATATTTAAACCTATTACAATTTAAACTGTATAAAATATTATCCATCATGTGAGCCACCCTCGTTTTTGGTTTTACTTATCAAATTGAGGAAATTTCTAGGAAAACAAATTCAAACTGCAATCAAAACAAAAGTTCCAATAATTACATCTCTAATTAACACTTTAATACTAGTATTTATCAAATTACATGAGTAATTGTTTACAAGAGAAAGAAAATTAGACTTAATTACTTTGATAGGACAAAAATAGATGAAAAGTTGAGTTTTTAGTAGACTTTTTTAGCAAATAGATTGCGGAGAATCAGGAGACTACCACCGCCTCCTACGGTGGTGGGATGGCCATCGCCGCCGCTGCTACTGCCACTGTTGTCAGCGCCGTTCGTGTCACTTCTACAACTTAAATTATGCCGGTACCCGATACACATGGGCACATTCAGGTTCAAGACACGAGCTTTACCGCCATTACCAACGGTTTTACACCGGCGAGGCTCAGTGACTTCCTTTTTACCACTGCCATGCCCCTTCTCACTGCTCCGGATTAGTCCGTCGGAGGTCTTTAGCCCGGACCCACCACGCCGAACCTGCCAGACTGGACTGCTTCGACCCAAATGCACTCCGGAACGACCCGGACTGCTTGGCCATTTCACCCGCGACTTGGACTCGCCGGCCGAGTTGCTCCGCGAGCAAGGAGCGCTGCTTACCTTCCGGGTCCCCATAGACCCGGTCATCTTGGGTCGGGTCCCGCTGTTCCCGGCGGATCTGCTCCTCGAAAATGGCCATATATTGATGTTCAACTCCGCCGGATTCGCTCCGGTTTGACTCTGATTCTTCTTCTCCTTCCTCCTCTCTTTTCCTTTCTCTCCCTCCTTCTCCTCCTGTTTTGTCGCCGTTCCATTTTTACCCTTATCCTTCTTGAAAATGTCCCGCCATCGTTTCGACGCTGACGAAGCCGCAGCCGGATCCGACATCACCGGAGGACCACGTTCGGAATCTGGGCACCCTTCAGGTTCTGGGTCGGGACCAGGAGGTTCAGAAGAGGGAGTATCCGGATCAGGAGGCGGATTCGGGTCGGGTTGTTTATTAGCTAGGAGGTCAAGAGGAAGGAGGAAGCCGTTAACAAAGAGTTCGTCGGCGGAGAGAAGATCAGGCTGGGGACAAGACGGGTTTCGGACCATCCAGAACTCAAATTCCGGCGAGCTCGAACAACTTCCACTGCTTCTTCGCCCACTGCCGGACGGAGATAGAGTCTTGGGTTCTTGGGTCAGAAGCAGGTCCTCCATATTTTTCAGAGATAGAGGTGATGCAGAACTATTTTGTTGTGATATTTTGAGGAAGAGTTTCTGAGGGAAAGGGGGAGAAGATGACTCTACAAAGAAAAATGAGAAATGGGAAGGAGAGACGGTGAATAAAACGCGTGGGTTTGAGGAGTTTGGGGTCCATTATGTGAAAGAATACAAATTTGGGGCATAGTTACAAACTTGAAAACATGGAAAAATGAGATTTGGTGGAATTTTATTGTAATTTGAGTTTATTTATCTGTCTATTTATTTATTTTTTATTGAAATTGTTAAGATATTTTTAGATTTGATTTTTTATATTTCAAAATTAATATTTGTCCTACAAATTTAGAACACACCTACATGCCAGCATGTTATATTTGAGGAAAGTACTTCTTTTGAATATACGAATCAAAATTTTTTTGAGCTTTTGAATTTTCAATATGTCATGGCATGACAAGTTGTTCATCAAGTCATTTATCATGTGGATCTCAAATCTGATATCCACATGATTGATGGTTTGATGGACTTCTTAGCACTTAACTTTTTGTTTGTTGAATTTTTTTATATTTTAAGTTGTATAATAAAAAATATTTTTTTATATTTTTTTTTACTAATCTTATTATAATTTGAGTTTATTTATCTATGAATTTTGTGTTTTACGTCTAAACTATTTTAAACAGTAAAATAAGACTTTTATGGAAGGAGGGATTGAATATTTAAAAGCCTTATCCTTTATTTAAATATTATTATTTTATAATTTAAAATAATTTAAATTGTAAAATAATTTTTTATTTATTGATTTATTTATTTGTTTTTTATTTATATTATTACAGTATTTTTAAATTAATTTTTTTTATATTTGAAAGTTAGTATTTGTCCTAAAATTTTAAAACACATATTTGTGCCAACTTTTTTTTTTTTTTTTGATAAATGTAATGGTTAAAGATTAGTATATTAGAAGTGTTAATAGGGGGCATTAAACCCAGAATTTGAGAGTGCAAACTACGAACTGTCTTTTGGGACAGTAAGTAGCCATTGAACCACAGCACGTGAAATGCATCTTCATGCTAGCTTGTTATATTTAAGGAAAGTACTTTATTTGTGTATACAATTCAAAAAAAAATTTTATCTTGAATTATATAATAAAAAATATTTTTTAATTAATTTTATGACATATTATGTAATTTAAATTCAAAATTTTTTATTTTTATTAAAATAAAATTATCATTAAATTATTTATCTCATTTAGTAATACAAGACTCAAAACTTAAATGCTGTATTTAACCAAAAAA